CTGATGGTAGTATTAGAGGAGAGAAAAAGATTTCGCTAATAACTGAGTTGGTCAAAGTTCCCAAAGACAAGTTCATTAGCAATATTTCAGTTAACTAGAGGAAGAAAGCGAGATAAAAAGTGGTACTCTTTCTCTAAGGAATAGTAAGTTTATTCGCTTCCGCGGTCTAAAGGAAGGAATCACTGCTCCGCATGATACAATAACATTCTTGAAATTTTATTTTGTATTCATGTGAGCAGTGCTTCGAACTAAATATGTAAACGACACTTATGAGTTCCTTTTCTCGTGTTTGGGAATTTGGAAAAACGTATACAATATTTAATGATTTTACTTACATTACTGTAAAGTCTCCTTTTTAAATTTGACTTTCTTTGTTAGATACCGCATAAATATGGATTTTATAATAGAACTGCGTAAAATGATGTACAGTTAGTAAAAGGCTTGTTGATACCTTATTGAAATGAGATGACACAAGTGAATTGTAGCTGTCGATTCTTTCACTTCTTAATACCTGTCCTATCAGTAGTACCCGTCAGTTTCAACATACACTGATCGACATAGCAACAGACATAACACACATTCTATAACCTTCTCTCCTACAATTAACAAATGATGACTGTCAAGTTAGTGCAGCAATATACCTAATATCGTTGAGCCAATCATAATCTGTTTGTGCGTTTTGTACTAATTTCGCGTTCTTTCTCTTTCATAAATGTTAGAAATTTGAAGTGCTGGAGTGATACTGAACCGAGAACCTGAATTAACTAAAGAGTAAGCACATCTTGAACGATTGATTTTATATAGTTTAATTTCTCATATAGGAATTTAATTTAAAATTGATCAAGGAAACTCCTTCCACTGTATGTATGCATTATAATGTGGAAGGAATGCATACCTTGATCAGATTAACAGTGGTATTTATCAATTAATTAGTGCAAGAGGTGGTCATTACCAGTGGTAGAGAGGTCATTGTACATAAAAGATGACTGATAGCACGATAGTACAGCTGATCAGTGGTGCTTGCGAAGATATTTCATTTTTAATCATTTTCACCTAATATTATCACTTAAAAAGCAATGTGTCTTGCTTATCGTCCCCCCTCTGTCGAATGCGTCCATTCTGCGTTTCATTTTCAATTCCTAACTTTTTGCTGACATTTAAAGTATTATAAATTAGATTTATTAGAATGTCTATCTAAAAGATACCAATCCATGCATAATGACGCTTGACGTCATTTTTGTATTTTAGATGTCCAAGCACTTTCAAGAAAGAGAAGAAGTTATAAATAGAATCGTTAAATTTTTTGGAAGCTTGTTTTAAAATTTATCGATTTTCCCATTTGTATTAATAAAAATTACATGGAATGCATCCCTTTCAGCTTATCCTTTTATAAAGGCAATTGTTGTAAGAATCACTTCATATGCTTATAATCTGAATATCCGAAGTTTAGAAAAAGACTATTTTACTTATAATGATGAGGCACCTTATGATGCTCCAAGGTATAATTCTGATAACGATAGAAAGGAAATTTCTAATGCGGTTGAAATATATTTGCTTAATACATGTATAGCGGGCATCTCACAGTAGTATATTAGAAGTGTCACTAATTGCTTCTCAACAAATGATTCACCGATTCAATGAACGAAATCAATTGTTCTTTTTCTAATAGAAACGGAGGAGGTGGGGGAGAGGAAGATGGTAAGATACATTTACATTTGCGTGATTTCTGTTGCGACCTATCAGCTATTAATTTACCTTCTATAGATGTATAATAAATCGATAAATTTTAAAACAAGCTTCCAAAAAAAATTTATGCAAACAAAGTTAAAAGATTGTTTCCTTTCAGTTCTGTCTGCTTACTCATTTTTCTGCTTAATTAAATTCTTACTGTGGTGGGTAAGTCAAATTAGCAAGCTTAACTGAACATTGTAGGAAATGGTATGATAGAATGTGTAATAAATGTATAATAAATCGATAAATTTTATGATAGAGTCCATCTGAAGAAGTCTAAAAAGAAACACTGGAAGAGTGGATTAAAATTTTATATTCGAATTTATCGTCTGCAGCGATTCATGATAATATTTATGAACTTTTCAACTTCACTTGATATTTTGAATGACTTTTTAAGCTGTTTGTTAAGATTATTATATTTTAATGCATGTATTAATTTTGAGCATCTTTCTCTTCCATCACTCTTGGTAAACGAAAAGCTTTTCTTTAACAGAACATTAATGATCTGATGCACATAATTGGTTTTAATTCTCAAATCAATACTGATTGCTTGTAATGCCGTAGTCAGATCAGTTTACAATGGCCCAAAGTATTGATTGTGCAAGAGAATGACGAACCTTCTGCCAAATCTTAGTACTAACAAAGAAGATTTTACTTTAGGTTCCAAATGCTGATGACACGTTTTAACGAAGCGCAAATGAATGGTAACCATGTATCAAGCAATACACCGACTACGTCGCAACGTACCGGACGATCTTCACGACGATCACATTTGCCGCAAAAGCCTCTGTTAACTCCAAGATGTAAGTTAAGATTGTATATAATGAAGGAAAGGGTTTTCCAGAGTCCATCTGAAGAAGTCTAAAAAGAAACACTGGAAGAGTGGATTAAAATTTTATATTCGAATTTATCGTCTGCAGCGATTAACTTCGTCAATTTCAACAGTCACGTCAGATGATCTGTTATTTGCCTTCGATTTCATTTTGTCCTCATTTATCATACGTGGACCTATTCAAAGAAGAGAAGATTCTTTTAACAATACTTGTTAAGCACTCGTCCACGCAAATATATCATACGTCTGAAAGGGCCTCACGTCACCCTCTCCTGTTTTCCACCTTCTTCTTACGACCACTCACGCATTCTAGTTGGGTTTTCCGTGCAGGACCTTTCTAATTTTAAATTTGCGCGCCCAATTTGTGTCATGAAGACGGTAAAATTCAATTTGCTGCATGATATATGCGTTCGGTGGGAGGTTGGTGTCACCTTCGTTTGGTGATGGTAAACTAGCTACCATTTATGAGTCTAAGAATAAATTGAACGACTTAATTAGTTTCAAAATCCTTCAAAGTCGTTTCCATTTGTTTGACAATCTTAAGAAAGCATCGGTATCTTCCTTTTAAATTTTTTCAGTCTGAATTGTGTTGGTGTACGGTATGATATAATGATAGCAAGAAATAATTTTCTCAAGAAATAATGTCACACACAGATTGAGAAGATTAGAAATCTTTTCCAAGCAGAATGGTATCAATACTGAAGAATAATAGAGATGAAAGGTCAAGTTGTCTTTCTGCAGCACGCGTATGGTGCAGTAGACCCTCTGATATCCTACCTATCGTTCTACAGCATTCTTCACTTCCTCTCCTCTTTATCTATTCAACCATAAGAATGATTATCTTCACTGTATGCTTGTGATAGTGCCGTAATACTGCCTTCCTAAAGATCATCAAGTTATTTGTCTATTTGCATGTCTTTTCAACCGACTCATATTTCGGATCCAAGTTGCTCGGTGGGCTGTCTTGTATTAGCTCCTACTAAATTATGGAATTGCTGATATAATCTAATTTAGTACAAGCCCGCTTTTGGGAAAGATGAGAAAGACAGATCTGACTACCATCTTGCAAGCCTGTCAAAGATGTCGTTCTGCTGTGGATATGTTGAGAATGAATTTTCTAAATAAAAATTTAAATCATAGATTGTTGTCACCATCAAGGAGAATATACGAAGTCCGTATTTTGCAGCTCGGACTTTTATTCACTTGTTTTGAACTTAAATATGTTTAGGAAACCTCCTTTAATAACGTCTATTATTGGTAAGATATTTTTATACCATGTTGGTAGCTTTCAATAGTTGAGATGTTTTATATGTGTTATAGTCTTTCTCAGTTTTCTTTTGGTTACTGCAGTGAAAGGGGGTTGTTTAATGGCAAGGAAATTAATTAAATAGTTTGGGTGATTAAGGATTATTGCAGATTAAGAAATCCATATATGGATGTTTGAATGTATGACGCATATTACGTCATAATTTCATAGGAGTGTATGCTAGAGTTAATTTTTGCAAATTCCAAGTTCCGTAATAGACTTCATAAAATTGTTGGTAGTGAAGGATTCCAGTCTTGTTTTTAAAATTCAAGTTGTCTTGCTTTTCCTTTTAGGATTTGATTCTTTTGAAAATTTCTTGCAATATCTGTTCTTATATGATTGCCGAAAAACAATAGCTTGTATTCTACTGTAAATTGCTATTTCTTAGATATTATCTTCTGTGCGGCATTGAAAGGGACAAAATGTTTCGTTTTTATGCAAATTTTCGGAAAAGCATGAAACCAGTTGCTACTGAAGAGGTTTTTTAGGTATTTCAAAAAGGTAGTGAGATGATAGATATATTGATGTGTATACTACAGAGAGGATCTTGTTCTTTTTATGAACCTTTTTTGGTTCACTCTAATAGCTAACGGTATTAGACTTAATTGACTTACGCTATTGCCACTTTTTAGTGATGACTTCTCTGACTGATATAGTGACTATTGGTGTAGATATAATATGGAATGTTCTCCAAATTTTTTATGAAATGGTGTTCTCAGTCGATCGGTCCTAGAGTTTTCATTCGTTAGATACTAACACATTATAAATATCTGTCCTGCAATAACAGTTCTCATCATTGATTACTTCTAATATCGTTTTAGATTATTACAATCGTTTCATTAGTACTAAGATATTACTAATAGAGTGGATTTATTGAGTTTTGCTGAGGAGCGACAAATTCTAACAAGGAGATAGAAAATTTTCATCAGTGACGTTTCGGCATTGAAGTCTAGCAGAGGCGCAGCAATTTTGTCGTTCTTTTTTGTCCTTAAGCTCTGTACTCCAATACAAATCAAAATGGTCGTGATAGTGAAAGATTTGGCACAGTTAATGTAGAATTTAATAATTATAGACTTGTAAGAATTAATACAATTTATTGTTTCATCATCGCTTGTCCCTTAGAATGTATATTCATATATAACCTTCACATACGTGGAGATAACGTTTGTCCGTGTGTTTCTTGGTGGTTTTAAGTGCCTGGACCAGTTCGGTTGTTGGATGCGGCGATGATGAGTGTTGCATACCCTCGTTCCTAGTGTCTGACAAGGGATATGTGCCCGCGAAAGTGAACTGCTTCTCTTGCTGCTTTGTTTCGACTCTTTTTCTTATCCGTGCATACATTCTTTTATTTGTTGGAAGGAAGCAGTATCCTTGTAACTGCCGGGATGGGACTATAAGGGTACACTATTGTAGTATTTTATTGTACATTATATGTGTATTTCATTTTGGTGGAAGACATTAAATAAAAAACCTTTGGAAATTTTAGTGTCTTGAGGAGTTAAATAACCTTAGATTTTGATGTTGAATGAAATGTTGGATGAAATGGGTGGCATATCATTTCTTTTCTTAGCAAACCGGGGCATGGTTGGCTCGCGTAAAGGACAACTGCTTGAAGAACAAGAAAATTCCACTTCAGTACCATCATGGCAACGAGCGAGCAGTGTGCCAGCCCATAAAAGACCACTTATTGTTTCTGCGAAAGGATCTAGTAAGTTCACATTAATTTCGAATTCATCTATCACTCATATAGCAGCATCAGACCTGCGAAAACTTACTTTAGATTTTGATGTCCATCTGTTTTGTTTGAAAACATCATTTATATAACATCGCGGAAGATAAAGGACATTAGTCATTCTTTCATGAATCATATCGCAACGAATAAAATTCTTTGTTTTACTTTTCTTTAGGCAGTGCTGGTTCTGTAAGCGATGAAGCTTTCCAACGGGCGTTCACTGAGGTCCCGAAGTGCAACGTATGTGCAGGGATTTTTCTTTATTTAGTGTTACTTAGATACATTATAGGCAAAATAGCCTATATATCTGAAAAAAATTTCATTTCTCCATAGTTTGAAGGTTTGACTTGTAATGATTTTCCGAAATTTATTACTATGAATATTACCTGTAGTAGCAGGTTGTCGATTAAAGCCACAGAATGTATCACTTTGTTGATATTAAAATAAAATTTCTGAAAATATAGGTATTTTCATCCAAGCAACTAAAGGATCAAATCAGCGAAGCGTGCGCAGTTCTTGAGAACACAGATTTAGATTGGAGTCGTCGTATGATTGCGGTGTGTCCATTTCCTGTTCTATACGAAATTTTCAGTTTCCATCGAATGTTTTGAAAATTGGTTGAGGAAATTCTCTGTGATATATTCTCACTACCTTAATGGGAGAATTTGCGTGATTTTGTTGGTGTATTTTTAAATATTCAAATTGCAGTTAAAAACATTGCGTTCGGTGATTATTGGTGGAGGCTTGGACTATTCGGACTTTTCAGAAGAAGTACGTGAAATGCAGGCAGCTTTACTCACCTCTGTTAAGGATTTGCGGTCGCAGCTCTGTCGCGAAGCATGTGTTACCATTGCGTACGTTAATTTGCTGCATTTGCAGTTCACATGGAAATGGCAGTTAAACCGTGTTTTATGAAAACCTTACTAAAATAGTTTCTTGACGATTTATATTTTTTATTTTTTATTATGCACTTGAGATTATCTGCTTTAGTTATCCGGAATAAGTTAAATGATTTAGTCGGATTATGCCTATAAAATCTTGATTAACCTAGTGGTTTAAATACACAGTATATTATGTGTTTGTTTCAGTTTCTTTTGCGAAAGGCTGGGGCTTGTAATGGTTAACGTAATAGATGCACTTATGCCAACGCTTATTTCATTAATGCAGAATAGTGCCAAGGTTGTTACTTTTTGTGCTATTTATCAAAATCAGTCTTTTTCTTTAATATGTTCTCACCGTTATGTGCATTTTTCTCAAGGTAATGGCAACAAGTGCGCAGCTTGCTTTACAGTACGTTGTTAAATATGTATGTAGCGCCAGATTACTTCCTCATTTGCAAACTGCAATGTCTTCGAAGTCAAAGGAGATTAGAAGGTAAATCCAGTTTTTAAATCTGAAAGATCGAAATGCAATGTATTTTTATGAGAATTTAGTTAGCAGCTGAAATTAATTCTTAAAAAGTTTCAGAAGTATTTCATATTCTTTCAGGAATACGGCATCATTGTTTTTAATGGCGTTAACTCTTTGGGAGAACAGAACAATAGAAAAAAATATGAACATTTTTTTAGAATGTATTAAGGTAAGAAAATATTTTAGAAATCCATTTACTCTATTCAGGTAGAATAATGATTGGTAAGGAGTGAAAAGTATTTTTTTCAGGCAAGTATAAATGATGCTGATCCAGAAACACGCAGAACGGGTCGTGAGCTTTTCATGCAACTAGATCAGGAATACAAAAAGCAAGCTGATATGCTTTATAAAGTCAGGCTTAACGATGATTTTATCACAGTTCAAATCTTTAAAGTTTCTTCTAGTTATTTATCCGTCATTAAATTACTAAAGAAAGTCACTTATTAAATATGAACGACGGAATTCTTAATAAATAAATTGTAAATATGAACGAACTCTTAATAAGTTGTAATTCAGAAATAATAACATAGGTGTTTTTCTTCAATAACATTTGGTAGCATGATTTCTAGACATTTTTTTTTCCCTCAAAAATTTTTATGTATGTTTTATAAAGTTTTCAGGCCTTGGACCCATCAAAGCAAAGAACACTCCCTGGATTCGTATCCCAATCATCATCATCCCAGTCAATTATTTCTGAACGAGACGCTTTACCTATTTCACAACGAAATGCTGCTTATGTACTTCACAAAGGTATTGCTTATTGTCTATTTCCTATTGATCTTTATATCACAAGTTTAAAATTATTGGCTTGATTGATGCTGTAGTTAGATATGTTATTAATGAGTTGTTGAAATAAGAATTTCTATGCATTTTATTGCCTTCTAGTAGTTTCTGTTTTTAACTTTTGCATTAAAACATTGGGAAGCTTGTATGTTAGTTTTATCAAACTAATTACGCACATTACTGATTTATTACGATTGAGAATTGTAGCAAGTCCCTCATATTATTCTGGACGTTCGACGTCCGATATAGATCCTGGTGCAGTAAGGCGTGTCACAAATCGAACTGTACGAACAGCTTCGAAGTGGGGTGGACCACTTCAGCAAGTAAATGGCACCCCTTCAAGTATGTATTTCAATTTCAGGACTTGGCATGTCTTTCTTTCAAGTTCCAAAAAGTCCACCGAAGTTTATACATATTGAATATTAAAAAAACGTTTGTTTAGGCCTTATAATGACTTTTTTTGTGTTTACAGCCACTCAAATGAGAACAAGTGCTGCGCAGCGTTTGTCTTCAGCATCGCAGAAGTTCGTTTCATCGTTACGGCGCGTACCGCCTACACCAACGAATTATGTTAGGTCGCAGCGTATGTTGTTTTTTCCATTAGTAGCAAAATCGGATAATAAGCATGATAAGTTATGAGTTGTATGATTTTTGCATAAATTATGGCATAAAATGTGTAATAAATTATCATTAAAATTTATAGCTGGTAGTCGGAGCTCATCACCAGCTTCTCGTTTCCCTGCACGCATTCCTCCTCGATCACAAATGAGCAGTCGAACGGTAATATATGTTTTAGTTGTTTTATTAACTGAATCATTACGTACTGTTTATGGGATCAATAAACACTCTAATGGGATTAATCAAAAAATAATCTCGAAGTTTTCAGAAAATCCAGATAGACGAATCAGAAGATCACGCTTCTGTCAGCAGTGATTCGTTTAGGTGTGTTTATTGCAAGATTTCACGAATTTTGTTTTCTTTGAATGAGAATGGAAATAGATGTATTTTTCCAACATTTCAATCCAGAAAGGTTTAGGAATCAACCGAATTCCCATTTTTTCAGATGCCTTATCAGCTTTGTAGAAATTTTTTATTCAATGACGTATTACAAAATTCAATAAAATTTCTGTAATAGGTTTGAGACGATGGAACTAGCAACTGCACTTTCATGCTGTGCCTCGTCGTCTACTACAGAGAAGAAGGAAGGCTTAAAAGCACTGTTTACTATTATTTCAAGTGACAAACAAGTTAATGAGATGGATTTGAAGAAAATCGTTGAACGTTTAACTCCGCTGATCGTAGAAGCTGCTCATAAGGTAGATGATTTTAAATCTCGTAAATTATTTTGTAGAAATCGGTCAAATTTCTTCTAATGGAGAATGTTATTAAAAGTAATTCTTCTGATTGTCATTTAAGGTCAGCTAGAGATTAACAGTGAGGATTGGAAATGATACTTTTTTCATTACTTCCTTACTTTGTAGAAATTTTTATTCTAGCTTTTGCAACCTCTCACGGATACACTGATAGCTTTGGTACGTCGTTACCATGAGGAACTAAACGATTGGTTGAATTTATTAATACCAAAGCTAGTAAACAAATGTTCTACGGAGGTTCTACCTAGTAATCTGGAGAAATATCGGATTTTGATGGAAGCTGTGCGGACGAGTTTTGATCCAGAAAAGCAGTTGTACGCTATTTGTAAATTTATCCGTGACCCAGTGCGGAATAACGTTAGTGTCAAGGTAATATATGCTTAAGGCAGATACAAACAAATAAAACGATAATAAAATGCAATCACTTAAATGGAGTGTAAGGAGAAGATAAATAATTAGGCTGATTGTTCAGTCTATATGTATATATGGTTTTTTCAGAGTTACAATTTTTTAATTTTAATTTGCGAACAAAGATTTGCAGACAAAGCATGGATTGTTGATGTACTTGCATGATTTAATGCGTGGTATGGATTCAGCTCCATCGATGAACCAAAGCGAAGTTCGACAAGCAGTTAGTAAAATATTCCAGTGGGTGGACGATCCAAAAAATATTTGTTTAATGGCGGTATTGTTTCGAATTTGCAAATATTGTTTTGTTTAGATTTTGCTTGTATTATATTCTGTAGTTTTTGATTTCCCCCACTATATTAGCATCGGAATTGAAGTAATACTTCACTGGTTGTTTTGCTCAGTGTTATGTAACATTAGTTTAGAATATTCCAGATGCCAAATTTTGAAGTTTCTGCTGGAAAGGCATTCAGAAGGTAAGCCGTAGTCTGTCAATGTAGTTTCGGTTAAGTTCAAAGTTCTATTTTCTTATGATATATCGCTTGTTTTACTCAAATGTTTAGTTTTTTACTTTAATGTCTCAAATTCCTTTTAATTATATCAGATCAGTGAAAAGGTCGTGTGTGACATGTTCC